TTAAATTATTTTTGCTTTCCTTCTCTTATGTTCATGTTTTGTCTCTTAAAGTCCTCATATGAGTGAAGTCATATGATATTTGTCTTCCTCAGACTGACTAATTTCGCTTAGAATAACACCCTCTTGTTCAACCACATTCTTTTTCTTTCTTTCTTTCTTTCTTTCTTTCTTTCTTTCTTTCTTTTAACATTTATTTATTTTTGAGACAGAGAGAGACAGAGCATGAACGGGGGAGAGTCAGAGAGAGGGAGACACAGAATCCAAAACAGGCTCCAGGCTCTGAGCTGTCAGCACAGAGCCCGACGTGGGGCTCGAACTCACGGACTGCGAGATCATGACCTGAGCCGAAGTCGGCCACTTAACCGACTGAGCCACCCAGGCGCCCCAACCACATTCTTTCTTAAATGGTGAAAAATCATCTGTTCAAACTGAAGCACGTCTCAAACATTAAACTAACTTACATACTCCTGAATATTTTTAAGGTAAAATGTTACTAACAAATCAAATACTTAAATAGGGACTTAATTATCTTATTCTGAGCAAAGAGAATATGAATTTCAACTCAGAATTTAATACAGCCTTAGAGTGTGTGTATACACATACATTTCTCTCTACCTTAAGTATTTAGGAAACATTCACATACAAGTTGCAGTTTTCCCACCAGCAAGTTACTAGGCTTTGCCTATTTTCTCTAGTAGTATAAATAAGTTTTGTTACAGAATTATATGTTTTTAAAAATCAAAAATATAAAGAAGTAAAAATGAACATAATATACCAAAAGACTACTTATTCATATTCAATAAGCACTGTTGCATAACCAACTCTTGAGAAATTTTGCTCTGAGAAAACAAAGTAATGAGTTCAAGAAGTTGTAAGCTGATGAAAATTATCTAGTAAAGAGGGAAAATGTAACATTTAGAAAAAATACTGCAAAAAGGAATTTCTGTAAAAATCAGTTCTGATTTTCATCTCTAATGAAGACAGAAGTTATTTCAGTAAATATACAAACAAAAATAAAAGTTTCAGAGAAAAGAAATGTTATACATTAGTACTTAAATTGATGCTGTTCTCATGTGTTCCTTACAGCACACATGCATTTTCCTATATGCAATCTCCCACACACGCTCAACCCACTTTGAAACCACACTCATTAAACCAGAGTAAAGAGGTAAATCCAAAAAATAATATGAACATGAATAATTCCTTAAGCAGAACATAAGAGGAGTATGTCATCGGCCTACCTGTAATACCTTGTGCCTCCCTCCTAAAATAAATTTAGGAACCTAGGGTCAAATTTATAAGCTTCTTTTCAAGTAAACAATTTTTCAAGTAAACTAAAGTTTGGTTAGTAATCAGTAAAACTGACAACTCCTAAAACTACGGAAGTTGGCTATTCCTAATTTAAATCATGCCACTAACTTCCCACAATTTAAAATAAAAAATATTTGTGTTTCATAATGTAATGATGTTATATAAATGTGCCAAAGTGTCTCTTGTATACTGGGCCCTGTATTATTTACTTCTTCACAGCAAGAGAGTACCATTAGCTCACAGCCCACCAGTGCCAAAATTTTACATCCAACTGCTTCTAATATAACCCAAATAAGCATATTTTTAGCCATTTAGAGCCTGTCATTTTACATTAATAAAGCTGCACTCAACAACTGCTATTCACAGTTTAGACCCACCCTGGACTATAAAAGATCATAAGCTGCTGCTATTCTATGGTGCTCTTTGACCCAGCGATTTCCCATCATGCAGCTAAATAACATAATCTAGATACATAAGTCCCTTCTCTCCCAGGGGTTCCTGTGCTCTCTTCCTGTTATAGGTATGGCCCTGCGCTGCTGGGAGGTCTCCAGCTGTTAGGGACTTACCTTTACAACCCGTCAAAGTTCTGCCTAAATAAAGCTCATAGTATGTTCCTTCCATCTTGTAGCCATATCTTTTTTCTTATCAGCCTTAAAATCTTCAAATTTACTACAAATTTACTATCTTCAAATATACAAATGTATATTTTTTTCAGTGAAATTTTACAAAAACTGGTGGATCATTTTAAGAATGAGAAAAGCCAGATGTGAAGAAAAACTTTAAAAGCTGACTGAAAACTATGTAAATTTTAAAAGTCCCCACAAGAAAATTTCCATAGCCTATTCAAGTAATTTCATTCCCTGTCAACCAAATAAAAAACAAAAACAAAAGCACTTCAGCACAAATGGTACAAGTTTTCCAAGAAGCAGATGATATATCCTAAGAAGCATTGAGAGCACAGGGTCATCTTTTCCACAGGTATGGCAGGATACAATGAAGAAGGCACATGATAGAAACACAATGCATGTTCACTGATTGAGGCCTTTGTTCTCGGCTACTATTTACTAAGGTAGAGCCCCAAACCCTGGTCTTGCTAATCATATCATGCGCTGGGAGGACCTGCAGGAGAAATATGATCGTTTTAATCCACAACACCACCTATGTAGTATTGCAATCTAAAATGCTTAAGCTGTCTAACCAGGAAAAAAACATTTATTTATTTGTTTGTTTATTCATTTATTTAATATGAAATTTATTGTCAAATTGGTTTCCATACAACAACCAGTGCTCATCCCAACACGTGCACTCCTCAATGCCCATCACCCACTTAGGAAAAAACATTTAGGCAAATACAAACTGAGGGACATTTTGCAAAACAACTGACCTGGGCATTTCTATGGTGCTCTTTGACCCAGAGATTTTATGTAAACATCATAAAAGGAAAAAAGAACACACTTATCAAAAATAGAATGGACCCAAATAAATAAATCACGTGTGAGAGAGGAGAAATCACAACCAACACCAGATAAATACAAACAATTATGAGAATATTATGAAAAATTATATGTCAACAAACCAGAAAATCTGGAAGAAATGGATATAAAATCCTAGAAGCGTATAAACTACCAAAACTGAAACAAGAAGAAATAGAAAACTTGAACATATTGATATCTAGAAAAAAAAAACTGAATCAGTAATCAAACATCTCCAAATAAACAAAAGTCCAGGGCCAGATGACTTCACAGAGGGATTCTACCAAACATTTAAAGACGAGTTAATACCTATTCCTCTCAAACTGTTCCAAAAAATACAAATGGAAGGAAAACTTCCAAACTCATTCCATGAGGCCAGCATTACCAATTCCAAACCAGATAAAGACAACACTGAAAAAGAGACTTTTTGCAACAAAATATTAGCAAACTGAATCCAACAGTACATTAAAAGAACCATTCACCATGATCAAGTGGGATTTACTCCTGGTTTGCCAGGGTGGTTCAATATTCGCAAATCAAGCAGCTTGATACAAATTGAGCATGATACACTGCGCATGGAGTCTGAAGATTGTCTCCATCTCTATCTCCCTCCCTCCCTCCCTCTTTCTCTCTCCCTCTGTCCCTCTCCCCTGCTAATGTTCTCTAAGATAACATAACATAACATAACATAACATAACATAACATAACATAACATAACATAACATGAAATAAAACAGATAAGAACCATATGATCCTCTCAAGATGCAGAAAAAGCACTTGACAAAGTACAACATCCATTCATGATAAAGACCCTCAACAAAGTAGGTTTAGCGGGAACATACCTCAACATAATAAAGTCCATATATGAAAAACCCACAGCTAATATCATCTTCAATGGGGAAAAACTGAAAGCTTTTCCTCTAGGGTCAGGAAAAAGACAGGGATGTCCATTCTCACCACTGTTATTTAACACAGTACTGGAAGTCCTAGCCTCAGCAATCAGACAACAAAAAGAAATAATAGGCATCCAAATTGGCAAAGAAGTCAAACTTTCACTATGTGTAGATGACATGATACTCTATATAGCAAACTCAAAAGACACCACCAAAAAACTGCTGGAACTGATACACAAATTCAGTAAAATCTCAGTATACAAAATGAATATACAGAAATCTGTCTCATTTCTATACACCAATTATGAAGACTAAATTTTTTTTTTCATTCAGTATAGTTGACACAGAATGTTACATTAGTTTCAGGTGAACTACATAGTGATTCAATTTCTCTATGTATTACACTATGCTCACCACAAGTGTAGCTATCATCTGTCACCAAACAACACTATTACAAAAGCATTGACTATATTCTTTATGCTGTATCTTTCCCCCCCATGACTTATTTATCTCATAACTGAAAGCCTGAAAATACTTAATTTTTTGACTCCTAGACCATACCCCCACCAAAAAAAGCAATCAAACAAAAACAGCTATAAAAAGGACATTCTTGGGAAAATTAGGGATATTTGAATATGAACTAGATATATTATAGTACTAGTATCAATGGTAAATTTCTTGAGTGTAATAATTATATTGTGATCATGTTAAAGAATGTCCTTTTTCTTAGAAGACACATACTCAAATATTTAACAGTAAAGTATTAGAATGTCTAAAACTTACTCTCATGTTAAAAGCAAGGCTGGGGAGAGAACATGAGCTTAATATGGCAAAATGCTCGTAACTACTAAATTCAGGGGAAAGGATATAGGTGTTATTTATATTATTCTTGTAATCTGTGTATAGATTTGAAATTTTTCAAAATAAAAAATTAGGTAAGAAGAGTCTGATGATTTTTAAAAAAAGGATTACATAGAAGAATTTATCCCAAAACCAAATTATGTTGCCATCTGCCCTTCAGTTATGATTATAAGAGTCTTAAGTCTTTGGCCCGTGAGTCTTTCCTGTATTCTACTTCCTCTTCTTTCATTCTCTCTAAAATTTCTTCTTATTGGGTTTTCATTCTTACTAGTCTACCCCAACCGCTCCTAACTAGATCTTCAATCTTACTCAACAACACCAGACATATTTGATTAGTCCATCCTCTAAATACTTTCTTTGCTTGGTCTCCAAGACACTACTGTTTCATTTCTCTACGTGCCTCACTGGCCACAACTTTTTAGATTCTTCTGATTCTCTTCTTCACTTTATCTTTAAACATTACAGTTCCCCAGTATTCTGTCTTCGCCTCACTTCTCCATCTACAGAAATTCCTTTACTGTTCTCATCCAGCCCCATAGTTTTAAATACCATTTGAATGCTGATGACTTCCAAATCTATGTTTGAAGCGCCAAACTCCTCAGAACTCCACATTCATGGTCAACTGCTTACCTAATATCTCCACTTGAGTCTAAGAGTCATTTTAAACTTAACATGTCCCAAATTGAATCCTTTGATTTCCTCCCCAAAATATATCCCTTCCCAAGCTTCCACATTTCTGTGAATGGCAACCACATCTCCAGAGTTATTAAGACAAAAAACCCTGAAGTCATCTTCAATTCCTTTTTTGTCTACTCTACATGCTCAACAAATACTGTCAGCTCTAACTTCAAAATATATGGCACCTTACCACTTCTCATCACACCAGGGAACATGTGAATCCAAGCTATCATTCTGTCTTCCATGGACCTCTATAGTATTCTACCAAGTCTCCTTGCTTCTGACCTTTCCCCACTATAGTGCTAGTTTCAACAAAGCAGCCCAGAATAACACTGTTAAAATTAAAAATATGTCCCTTCTCTTTCTGAAAGTTTTTAGTGACTTCCAGGATCATTCAATAAAAGATAACACCCCTGACATAGCCTACAAGGCCCTACAATATTTATTCCTTTGCTGCCACTCTGGACTCATCTCCTTTTACTGACGTCACCTTCACACACTGTAGTGAAACTGTCTACCTTACTCTACCTGAACAAAAAAGGCACATTTTGCACATAAAGGATTAGAGTAGAGATAAAGCTCATGGATTAAGGGCTTGGAATAGGAGTCAGAGAAGAATGATGAAGGGAGGCCCAAGAGGAAGAATGGAACAAGAATATCCATAGAAATTAAGGAAGAAAAAGGATACCAAAAAGAGATATATCATCAATGTAATATTTATAAGAGTGGGGGAGAAAAAATGATAAAGGAGAATTAACTCATAACAGGGAACAGAGTAAAAATACCGTGTATTAAAAAAATGGGAAATCACATTAACATATTATACTGGCTATTTCTGAATGACAGTATTCTTCTAACATCCCTTGTTTTCAGATGTTTACGCTTTGTTATGGCTAGACTATCTCACTTTTGCCCTATATATCTTTAGTTTGGTCCTTTATCCAAGGGCATAGCCCTTATTTACAGGGTATGTTCCTTTAGCAATCTCAACAAAAAGTCCAAAATACTTTCCCAAGGCCCCTATAACTTGCCAGTCCTTGAACTCTAATATTTTTTTCACCAATATTAAGTGGCTGGTGAAGTCTATTCAGTTTGCTAGCTGTACTCTCTAAGATTCCTCAACTCTTACATAGCTCAAAAGAAGCTAGAACTAACTCAATTACTTAAGGGGAATTTGCAAACAGATTAAGACCCTAATTCTCTGAGGTTCTCTTCTCTCCAGGTTTTAACCTCTTACTTTGCAATCTCCCTGAGAGTTCCAAACTCCAGCCTGTTTCCTCATCCCTGAAAGACTACCACTTTCTGTTTGGAATCTGCTCCACCAGTTGACAGCAAACTGAAAAATTCTCTGTGGAAAAAAAGCCAAAATAAACATGAACTCTTCCTGTATGAATCCCTTCCTTCAAGGATCAAAATTCCCCAAGATCCTCCAAAATTTTAAAGAGAGAAAGAGAGAGACCGACAGAAAGAGAGACCAAGAAACAGACACTTAACTATAGAGAATTAACTGATGGTTACCTGAGGGGAGGTGGATGCGGGGAGGGGTCAAATAGGTGACAGGGATTAAGGAGGGCACTTGTGATGAATCACTACATTCTACACCTACAACTAATATTACACTATCTGTTAACTAACTGGAATTTAAATAAAAACTTGGGGGAAAAAAGATCCTCCCTACATTGATTGCATTTCAGTACCTAAAGACAATTTTTTAATACTTTCTTCAGATTTCAGAAATATTATTTAGGACCACCAAACTGTGGGAGGTTTGCCTACTGAATTGATTCTACGTAGCTTTCTAAAATTTACATCAAAAAAACGATTTCTCTGCTTCCTTAGAGAAAGTGTGCTTCCAACAAATATGGCTGCTCTGACTCCTAAAAACTGAGAACAAACTGAGGGTTTATGGGGGGTGGGAGGAAGGGGTGGGTGGGTGATGGGTACTGAGGGCACCTGTTGGGATGAGCACTGGGTGTTGTATGGAAACCAATTTGACAATAAATTTCATAATAAAAAAATTTTTAAAAAAGAAATCAAACCAATTCTCTTACACATTAAAAAAAAAAGAAAAACAAATATGGCTGCTCTGTATAATTATTTAAGCCATATCTCCTTTGCCTTCCAGAAACAAACTGAATCGAGGTAGAGATTTTTCTGCTAACAAAGTGGTCCTTAATTTCCTTTACAACTATTATAAACAGGGAACATTGCTCTTGGATTTAACATGAGTCCCTGGTTATCAATCAGGAAGTGTATTATTTTGCTAGCATTTTCTGAGGTACTCTATTTCTAGATCCCTAAACATTCTATCTCCTTGTCTCATCTCACTTCCATGCAGTTTCTGTCAATTTCAGCTCTTATCAGTCTTATTACTGAACTAAGTGTTATAAATCAGGGGCATTATTTTTGAATTTTGTATTTTTGCATTATATTTTGCATTTTGAGGTGAGCTATTCACATTCAGAAATTATTATTCACATTATTAGTACTTTCAGAAATATATGCCTTCCTGGTCCAGGTCTAGACACTCTCTCTTCCTTTTTCCACACAACTTCTATACAGTCTTGATGATTTTGGCAATCCTTTCCTATAAATTTGAGATAGACTATTTGTTGCAAACGTTCACTAAAAGAGGATTTTCAAGTTTCCTTTCTCTATATCCGTTTGTCTTTGATATTTTATAAAAGAAGAAGGAGAATAAAAAAAAGGTATGCTGATCATGCATTCATATCAGAATCTTCTTACAGGCTTACTATTCCTCAATAACAAATTTTATCTTAGAATGCATACCAGTCACCTAATAATACCTCTCATCTCTAAATCCACCCTTCTAGGCACTGACTCTGAGGCTGGGATTTGCCAACTTTGCCTCACAAGCTCCTCTGTCCACTGGGGGCACCTGAAAGATACTGGGGAAAAGGAGATAAGAAGAAGTGTTTCTTGCTGTTCCTATACACAGTTCCTAACCAGAGAAAATAGGTCCCAGCCTCCAGTTGTTATTGGCATTCCCAGAAACAGCCTCACTGCCCTTCTTCATATATACCAGCAACAGCCATGTGATGTTCTTACTCCTCAGATGTTTGAGCTCCGGTATCTCAAGACCCATCTTCTCAGATCCTGAGTTCTAGTATCCCCAGCCCATTATGTTTTGTATCCCAGCCTACAGAGTATAGACTTCTTTCTGTAGTTATTATTTTTGGTTACATCAGTATTTCCTCTTTTTTTTCATTTTCAAACATGTATGTAAACAATAACCCATATTAAATTCTACCTTGTAAAGCGACTCATAAGTTCTTGTTTCCTGATTAAGCCCTAACTAAACTCTGATGCTTACTCAACCTCTGTTCAAAAACATTATTTCTAGTACCAAAAGCTATCACACTTATATAGTACCTTAAATTTTATATTTTAAAATGATAAATTCTGGAAAATAAAATCACAATTTTATAATAACACATATTTATTACTTTTAAAATTAGAGCATGACAGTAAAGAATTTCTAAAAGTCACTCACAATGTGAATGTGCAAAAACAACAAATGTTAACACTTTGATGTATTTACATCTTGCTCTCTTCTATTCAGAACAAAAATGTTATCCTATCAGAACCTATTCTCAAAGTAATAAATAAATTATTAAAAACATACTGCATGCATTATGTTTTTAGAAAATTCACAACCCAGGTTACCTTTCAGGTACAGAAGAAAAGATACTAAAGTTGTCAGTATTTTAAGAAATAGTTATATTCTCAGAATTATATATTATATTATATATGATAAAGCAAACTTATTTTTGGCAGGAAAACATGTTAATAGCGTATTTTATACTACAAACCAAAATGAAAAAAAGCCTTCATCCACAATCTATAAAAATTATGAATAAATTTAGTAAGGCCAACTACTCACCCCCTATTACTGACAATTGCCTTTTTCAAGTGAATATAATTTACAGGAAAGATACCCTGTAAAAGAGAAAAGATTTCCCATTAGAAAAAGCAATTTCTGATTAACATCACATATATACTAAAATAGCAGCCAGATTTCAGCATGGAAATCAACAATACAGTAGAACTCTTAATGTAGCAACCACTTTGCATATTAAGAATGCAAAATTGCACAAACTATACACATTAGATAGGAATTTCATTGTCATTTGCACTCAGAGTCTATCTTCAGGTGAAAACTGTGATCTTAAGCAACAACCAAAAAGATTATTTTAAGTTACAGATTGGAAATATTCTACCTAATCACTCTCAGGATATAGACTTATATACAAAGCTTGGCATGTATCTACAAAACTATCCCCTAACCAACAACTTATACATTACCCAGCTCTGAGCTAGAGAAACAATTCTCGGACTCTGACAAACATTTATATTCACCAGAATGAACCAATTTGGAAGTTTCCATAAATATTTCTCTTTTTATTCTTTCTAAATAGTTTCCATTTTGATATTTGCCATAATTTGATTTCAATTCCTAAGGTACAAAAAGATGTATTGTTTTAAAAAAAAATGAAGTTTTGCAATCAGTGTTTCGTTATTTTTCCCTGATGTATGAAACCCTTCAAATACAACACAAATGGTCTCAATTCTTTTATATATACTCTTTGGCCCACATCACTACCAAAAATAAATCTATACCACACAAGGCCATCAGCAACTAGACTACAGTAATTCATTTTATAGTTTTCAGTATACAGATATTTCACCTCCTTGGTTAAATTTATTCCTAACCATCTGCTTGTTTTCAATCCTATTTTGAATAGCACTGTTGCCTGTATTTCTTTTTCAAACATTTCATTGTTAGAGAGTAAGAAACACAACTAAATTCTGTGTGTTAATTTTATATCCTGCAATTTTACTGAATTTGCTGATTAGTTTCAACAGGCTTTTGGTGGAGTCTTTAGGATTTTCTACATATATCAAATCATCTG